AGAGAGAGAGAGAGAAGAATGGCAGGTTTCCTATCTCTTTCTTGAATATCTAACTATATTGAAAAATTATTTTAATATTAAAATTTAAATTATTAAATGAGATCTCAAATAGAATTTTAAATTATTTTTTAATGATAAATATATTGATATTATTTGTGTTTTTTGGCATGTGATTTCGATGAATTACAAACAAAGAGTTATTTTTTTTATAAATATACGTTGATTTCTTTTCTTTATAATGTTTTGATTCATAATGTGTTTTTTATGATAAACTCAATTTAAAATGTTTTTCACACTTTATCTGCTGATGGGGGCATTGTGTCATTTTTGCTTGTTGCATTGTAAGTCTTTCGATGCTCTAAATTGTGGTTATAGATTAGGCGCAACGAATCTTCTAATGTTATTAATTTTGGTTATAGATTATTGGATTGTTAAATCATATTTGTTATTCAATACTCATTTAATTATGTTAAATTCATGTATTTAGATTTGATAATCATGTTAAACTCAAATATAATTATTAAATTCAAGATGCTCAGAGTTTAAAGTAATTACTACATCTAAAACATTTGCAGAACTGATGTTTTTGTACTTTGAATTTGATAGCAACTATGTCAGAATCTAACACACTAAAATAATAGAGAAGAAGCAATGAATGAGAAAAAAAAAGACAAAGAAAAATATCATGAAAATATAAAAAATTAAAAATAAAACTATTATTATAATACATATTAATACTATAAATTATTTTTAAAAAAAATCAATTTAATACCTTTTCAGGTTAAAAACAAATTAAAGAATATTTTAAAAAACATAATGTACCATAAAAAATACAAACACTCCCTTGATTGTATTCTTCAGTGGGAATCCGGCAGAACAGGGAAACATTAGCAAGTTTGGGGTCATGCCTTCCCGTGAATCCTTCTCTCTCTTTCTTTGATCGAAAACACCTCACTGATTGAACAAGTCAAGATCTTATCATCATAACCAATTAATTAACACAGCTTGATAGTCTATATCGTTCACCTACTTCATGCATGCTTCGTCTAAACAATGCTTGCTATAAATATGTAGAAAGTTTGCAACTACAGGTATCCCATTTCCAACCCATATTCTTGCCGTCCGTGGCATAGCTGCCATTGATCACAGTTTGCAGCAAACACTATTAATTTTATGCCATGGCAGCATCTACTCCCTTAGCATTTGCGGTCCGACGATGCGAACCTGAATTGGTTGCCCCAGCTAAAGCCACTCCTCATGAACTCAGACAGCTTTCTGATATTGATCGCCAATTATACCTCCAATTCCAATCACCGAATTACAACTTGTATGCACACAATCCCTCAATGCAAGGGAAAGATCCCGTGAAGGTAATAAAAGAGGCGATTGCACAAACACTTGTTTATTATTACCCTTTTGCTGGTAGGATTAGACAAGGGCCAGACAATAAGCTTATAGTTGAATGTACTGGGGAGGGTGTTTTGTTCATCGAAGCCGATGCTGATGCTACAGTTGAGCAGTTTGGTGATCCAATCCCATCTCCATTCCCTTGCTTTGAAGAACTTCTATACAACGTCCCAGGATCTGCAGGGATCCACAATACCCCATTATTGTGTTTTCAGGTACGATACAGGACATAAGTGGCTAAGTTCATTCAGTCATTTATTGCAAATTGTTTTTGACAATAGACCACGTAAAGTGTATATAAAAAGAAGGTGCTTGTCTATGTAATTAGGTTAGAGAAAATAATAAATTTGGCTTTCCATTGCACTAATAATTTTACTTATTTTAACAGGTGACACGCTTGAATTGTGGTGGTTTTGTACTTGCCTATCGTCTCAATCACCTAATGAGTGATGCACTTGGCATAGTTCAACTATTGAGTGCCATAGGGGAGATTGCACGAGGTGCGCAAGCCCCTTCAATTCTACCTGTGTGGCAAAGGGAACTTCTCTGTGCTAGGAATCCACCACACGTTACTCGCAGACACAGTGAATATGGTAATGATGGTCCAGTTGTTGTTGGTCCTACAACCAACGTTCCTGAATTCCACGGCAAAGTTTACGATGTAGCCCACCGTAGTTTCGTTCTTAACCGCAAAGAATTATCAAACATTCGTAGATGGATTCCTTCTCATTTACACCCTTGTTCAAATTTTGAGGTCATAAGTGCATGCTTATGGAGATGCTATGCCATGGCATCTCAAGCAAACCCTAATGAGCAGATGCGCATGCAATTGCTTGTCAATGCACGTTCCAAGTTCAACCCACCATTACCAAAAGGATATTACGGTAACGTGGTAGCTTTGCCAGCAGCTGTAACAAATGCTAAGAATCTTTGTTTAAACTCATTAGGGTATGCAATGGAGTTGATAAGGAATGCCAAGAATGCAATAACTGAGGAGTACATGAGATCATTGGCTGATCTAATAGAGATCACCAAAGGCCAGCCTATCGGGTTACAGTCATATATTGTGTCAGACATAACAAGAATGGGGTTTGATCAATTAGATTGTGGGTGGGATAAGCCAGTTTATGCTGGGCCAGCTAAGGCCATGCCTGATGAAATTTCTATTGCTGGAACGTATGTTCTGCCCTATAGATTCAAGAACGGAGAGCGAGGGGTTATGCTGTTAGTTTCCTTACGCGCACCAGTTATGGAGAGATTTGCAGTCCTCTTAGAGGAATTGGCGAGGCATGATCCAGAAAGAAGCCAAGGACAACAAGAAATGATACTAAGCTCCCTCTAAGACAGGAGCTATGGTATTACTATATTGTTGCCATAGTAGTTTGATGATTTGTTGGTTTTCGAAGAGTTTACACGTGTAAAATTAATAGTCTGATGACTGTTGTGTTGTTTTGTTCAATGTGTTATCACTTATATATAATTCAATATATAATAAGATCAGTATTGTGTTCCCAATAGTTTGATTCATGGTTTTGGCGAATTGAAGGTTTTGATCAACATGTGATATTTTAATCATGACTTGGAAGTATATTATATAACAACAACCATTGATTAAGTTTGAATATATTTTCTTATGGAAGTTGTAAACTGTTGGAAATTTGAAAATAAAATAAACAGAAAATAAATAAATAAAATAAAAATGAGTTTAGATATGTGATCAATAGGTAAAAAAAGGAAAGAATGATATGAAAAGGTATTAGTGTAAACTCCAATTAACAATGTTAATAATGTTACTGTAAAATGATAATAAATTCGTAAATAAACTAAAAGATAAAAATATAAAATAATTATATTTTAGAATATGAAAATGATACCGAGTATTTAGTAGAGAAATTGATAAGATCTATATAAGAATGATATAAAAAAAACTCGATATTTGTTGTAAAATTATTTACTGACTAATTTTATGTCATTGAACATAACTTTCAAAATAATAATTAGATCAAGTTGAAATTTTATGAGTAATCTCTTGATATATTATTCTATCTTAGATTAAAAGTTTTAGAGCAATTAAAATTAAAAAAAATTATACAAGAATGTCAATAATCAAATAAAAAATAAAATATTAACTCATTAATGACATTTATCCTTTAAATTGCCTGCAAAAGTTGGAAAACAAGGGAGGTATAGAAAATTTCTTTGTGAGCTTCCACCATTAAAAACCCTGGAGTGAAACCAGGAATTAGGAAAATATAGATGAGGGAGTGTATGTTCAAACACCTTTAATACAAGATTTTAAAAAAAAAACGAGGTAAAAAGAATAAAGAGAGAAAGCTTATGGAATATGAGGGGAAAAAAAGGGAACATAGAAAAATTTACCGGTTAACATTTAAAGTTCATAAAATTATTAGATAAAAACTTATTAACTTATTTATATAAGGTTAAGTAAAGATTAACAAGGTTTATGCAATATTTTTCAATTTTAAATTAGAGTTTTTAGATTATAAACTAAAAAAATATAGAATTATAATATTATGATGTTATTGGGTGTAATAAGATATAAATGACTATAAATAATAATTATGTAGGAAGAATAATTCAACCTTGTGTCTAAATAATTATCAACTAGTCTTATATATTTCTTTTGGTGTGATGGATGAATGATCTGTTGGAGAGAGTGAAGGTCTTTTGTTAGCAGGTTTCCAATTGGTTGTATATTACATGTACAAATTGTTCCATCATTTTCTTTTAATTTTTATACCCTTTATGTAAATATTAAGGTATTATTTTTATTTTTTGAGCTTGAATAATTATTTTATATAATATCAAAATTGTAATGATTGAATTCAATAAGCTTTATGTTTTATAAAATCTAACATAAAATAACCATGCGCTTTTACAAACTTCTAAGTTTAAAAAGATTATTTAAAGAAAAATATATTAAAAATTAATATAAAATTATTCTTAAAACCTCATCTAAAATCTAAAATTCTTCTATTAGAATCATAATTTATATACTCAATGTATAATTGTTATTTACAATCAATTGCTTATTATTATTAGTTTACTAAAGTTCTTTCTTTTATGGTCGGTTTACAAATTTATTGGTTAGGATTATTTAAATCACTTAAAAGAAAATTAAGAAATTATTATCTTTTGTTTATGGATTTTGACTTTAAGATTATCGAATTGAAATACAGAAAGAAAAATTTAATTAAATAGTTCCTATAGGGTGCCAAAAATATCACTACTACACATATCATTTAAAAATATCTCTGATTATGGCTCACCAACTTTTTTTTTTAATAAATTATTTCAAGTTATATTTAAACTTAAATACAATGAGAGTTCATTCGTTCAAAATTAATTAATTTAATGAGAAAATTATGATCCAATCAACTAATTTAAAATCTAATTTGATTTTTTTAAATAATATTATTTTAAATTAACTCAAATTCAATTTATTCAACTTATAATCTGAATTTTGGATCAGAATCAACCCGCTCAGCTCTAAATCTGGGCTCAGATTAGGGCCAATTTCAATAACTTTGCTAGATAATTAATTATAAATGACTACATTCTTAAAATCCTACTAACCCAATTAAAAATTTCTTATTTTAACCACCAAAGGTCAGTCGTGGAACAAGGAGATATTTCTCCACCAGAGCTCTCATTATAACATGAGAAATAATTTGATTGCTCTCCCATTCCAAAGTGGCAACCATGCACACTCTTGAAGCTAGGGCTCCTTAAATTCTGACTGAAGCTCCTATTGCTACTGTAGCCAATAATGCCAACACCATTTCCATGTGGTCCATGATCTTGAACTGGGAATGACAGACGTTTCTTCGCAACCGATCCACCACGTTCTCTCTCAGGTGTCGATGGTCTCTGCCTTGGTGCACTCTGTGGCCTAACACGAGCCTTTGCTGACTCAGTTGCTGCCATGTAGTTTGGCAAGATTGTAGCAGCGCACCCACTTCCACCCACCATTCCATATCGACCAACACCATTGTTCATGAAATATCTAGAGCTCAAGCTTGGAGTATGTGCTGCTGAGTAGCATTTGTTTCCTTCTTTTAGGCATCTTGGACTGGCTGAACGTACTTGAAGGGGCTTGGGTTTGCAAGGAGAGGGTGTGATTGGCGATTGGTGGAGAGAAAGACTGGAGTGTGATCTATGGAGAGGAGAAGCAATAGAATGTCTGGGGCTTTGTTTTTGTAGGTGATTTTGGCATTGTAATCTTTGAGAAGAAGTTGTCGTAGAATATGAAAATGGTCTCGATGTGTCCATTTCTACAGTCTTTATACTGTTGTCTTTTCTATCTGTTATTGCCCCGCTACTTGTCTCCCATTGCTTTGCTGCCATCCAGCGATCAAGCCATCCTGTTCTGTCTTCAAGTTCCTTTTCATCCCCTGCTGATGGGTTCCTTCTAGACCTCCATATCTTGATTTTGAGTCAAGTAGACATTTGACAAATTAATTAATTAGGAGAAACATATGATACAATTATGTTAGAGCCCAAAATTAACTTATATAACAAACACATAGTGGGTGAGGAGACAAACCTGACTAGAGAAAGCATAAGCCAGGGCCTTTTCACGTTTTAATGCAGCTTCCTTCTTACTTTCCACCATGGCTTCAATCTCTTCATTAGTGCATGGACGATCATCCCAATCATTTAGAACGGAGCTTACATCTCTCGACTGTTAAAGAAAAGCCATTAATTTCATGTCATTTCATGTCCTAAGTGGTTTGAATGTCATAAATTATTTGTATGTGTCTCTTCTCATCAGCAGTTGTCTGAAAATTGATGCATTTATACAATAATTTTTTTAATAAATGAGATGGGCCTAGACATTTGAGATTGAAGTATAGTTCGGCTGATGGGCTCATGGGGTTGCAAAGGACTGACCATGGACTTCCTCTCACGGATGTCGTGGAGATATTTGAACTCCCACGAGCTATTAGTCTCAGAAAACATGGACCTTCTGCTCCCTTCATGTGAAAGCCTTGCTCGGTGGTCACGGACTCGATCTTGTACTCGAGCTAGCGCTTGCATGTATTGAAGTGTTAGCTTCGCTTGCTTTCTCACATTGTGTCCTCTTACCAAAGCTTGAAGCTTCACTAGCCCTTTCAGTGCACGTAGAGCTCTCCTTGCCTCAATAATCAATCAAGATTAATAAATACCAAATCATTAAGCAAGAAAGAAATGAAAATATTGAAATATACAACATAGCAAGTGATGAGTTAGGATCCATTTGTTTATTTATATGGTTGAAGTTGCGTATTACAATACCAGAAACACACACTTACTAGGTAACCTCTAAAGGCCGTTTGAATGGCAATAGCAGCCCAGAGTTTAGTTCTAACAAAGATGGAAGCTGGTCTAGTGAGTCTAACAATCTCTACTGCTGCTTGGGCTGTTACAGCTGCAGCATCAGCTGCCGCAGCTGTGGCTGCTGCCACAGCCACCGCCAAATTTTTT